CGTGCAGTGCTGCTGTTTCTGCATTGTTTGTAAAAACACCACAACCGCAGAATAGGTAGAGGGAGTAATCTGGTCCGTTCCAAATGAATTAGCATTTGATTTGTTGTGACATTAGAAATTGAGGTAATGTTGCTTGCTCAGTGATTAAAAGCTTCTTTATTCAGTGCCACCATTCCTGTTTTTACAGAAGGGAGGGCAAGATCCAGTTCTACATGGAGGTGTATGAATGAACGTGGTGCAGAGGAGATCACATCCCCTTCAGAGCAGGGAAAAAGCAAACTGTGTTTAAACCTGCAGAGGCTGGCACTAACCTGGCAGTGAGAATAACAAGTCAAAGCTCTCTTGTATCTGGCATATTGTACTGAAAGCAGTCTAATCTACTTATGCAAGTTCCCTGCCAGTGTGCTSGGATTAAATCTGAGTTATTGTGGTACAGAAAACATTAATTKAATTGCTGTTGCAGTACAGTTTTGTTTTTGCTGACACATGTCAATTAAAACTKTAAATACTGCTGTATCAGTCATCTCATTTACAGTGATTGGAAGGTATAAAACAAGCTGTAAACATTACAATTAAGAAGTTAAAGTCTCTAAACCGGGCTAGGACTAGATTTTGTAAAATTTATGTTGAATATAGCTGTCTTTTAAGGGCATGCCAGTATGCTTCCAAGAATAGCCACTAAGGATTAACTATTCATGCAGATGCTTTCATTCTTAAGCAGTGTTGTTGAGTTTCCCTTTGCTTGCAGCACATAAATTCAGCATTCGTGGGGAACCCTTTCATAATTTGAAGTAAGAAAATGTACATAAGGTGTCAGATGAAAAGCTCAGGAGGCTAGAACTTCCCCCCTCTTTTTTCCTCAAATGAATGCWAGTTAAAGTCTTCTATTTTAAACTACCTCTTCCCTGTGTTGTGTCCCAGCTACTTTCTGGTCCCTGAGGATTTACTTGAGTGGATGGTTTTGCCCCTGGGATTGGCATGTTGTGTCCTCACTGCTTCCCATCCTCTGTGTTTGAGAACTGCTCCTCTCCAAGTTAATTACAGACCTGGAAATGAGACCACCGTTTTGTTAGATACGCCTAGAGAAAAATCATCCACATGCATATGATGTTATGGAAGGAGATTTAGGAGCAGAGTTGGGCAGTTGTTTCTGTGTGGTACCAAAGATGTGCTGTGCTGCAGATGGAAGGGACAGATCCACATCTGCTCAGTTCAGAAGTGACTTGGACCCTTTCTGTGGCTGTCCAGCCGCAGTGGCAGCAGTGCCAGCACACAGAACAAAGTCCCAGCGCTCGCAGGATGAAGAGGTTTTGGAGAGGAAGGGCAGAGAAGTCTCAGACTGGAAAATGCTGTTACAAAAACCCTGAATTGCAGATGGCTTGAAAAAACGCATTGGTGGGGAGATGTGGATTTTAGATCCGGAGMTGGATGTGGCTTGGAGAAGCAGCCCGGAACTCTCTGCTGGTGGGTTACAGGCAGTCTGTTGCCATCAGAAATGTGCCTTTAACCCCTCTGTCCCTGACTCCACATTCACCTCAGGCGTTTCTCTGTCTTCCTAGGCACTGCCAGGCCTTGTGCACGGTCTTGGCTAAGTGATAACGATTGCCAGCATTTTAAGAGGGCTCCTGTGTCAAGTGCTGTCAAAGCTAGGGAGGCAGAAGGAAAAGCAGAAATCTTTGGAAGCCTTCAAGGCTTTTATTGTGAGTCAGGAACTAGAAAGGACATCTGTACAGTGCAGTGTAGTTAATCCAATTTGAATCCCAGTGCTGTCCGACAGAGGCAGCATAGAGGAGAAGCCTTTACCCGGAAAACTGGAATTAATACAAGGATTTTGTTGACTTGTAAATTGAGTCAGATATGCTAGCTTCAGATAGAGAGACTTTTTTGAAATCAGAAGTAGGCAGTTGACCTTCAGCAAATATAGAGGCCTTTTTTCTTGTTTTCTTAGGTGTGTTGGTGTGGGGAAAAAACTTCTGGGACAGAAAGAGACATGTGCTTCAATGTGTCCTTGGGCATGCTCGGTTTTTCTGAATGCTTCTAAATGGTAGTCATAAAATATTGTGGTGATGCTAATTTTGGAAATTGGGTGCAACACCAAGCTTGTGTCACTGTGTCTCTTAATAAACCATTTTATTGTTACACGATAATCACACAATCTTGCTCCTAGTATTCTTAGCGAGCTGCTTATGTTTTAACTCCATGGGTTTTCTTCCTGTTTTTTCCCCTCTTAAGTTAGAAGGTCATTGTAACCTTTTGTAGCTAGTTTAAAGATACGTACTTTCTGATGTTTACCCAATCAGTGGATGTCAGGCTGCTTGGATCCAATGCTTTAGCAGATAAACACATTTGGAAGCTCTAAGAATGAGTCATGTTAGCTGGTATCACTCTCCCCAGTGCTATGCACTTATAGCTCTTGCCTTCTTCCTTAGAGGTGCAGTTAAGGTATCCTGGGCTTTAATTACTGACTCAACATCTCTGAAGAAGCAAAAGCAGAGCTGGTTCTGAAGACAGATTTCTGAAATGTAGCACATCTTTGGTTGAAATGTGTTGAGTATCTTCAATGAGGATGAAAACTTGAATATGCTTAGATACTTGCTAGCCCGTTTTTTTCCCTCTCCTCGCTCACCTCAGTTTCTGTGCTGGGATTAGGGTGGGAACCAGCTGCTGTCTAACCATGGGGCTGATGCCCAGAGTCCAGGCRCCTTCCTTTTGAGTACAGCATCTTGCTCTTTGACCTGCATAGGAATTTATTTATTTATCAATTTATTTATTTGTAAGCAGTGGTACAGTTTCTTCAGACAGAAGAACTCCCTATGAGCTCCAGCATGCTGGAGCAGAGTTTGCCCCTTTGTGCCAGATGAGGACATACAGTGCAGAAAGCTGTGCATTAACACCTGGGCAGCAGTCTGTGCTTTAATGACACTTCCCTGGTGCCTGCCTCTGGGGTGTGTTTTAAGGGTGCTGCTGTTTGCCTTCAGCCACACCGTCCTCCTTGGGGCTCTCCAAGTGTCTGGCAAATGATAGCCCTAAATCTGRCGCTGTAAACAAACACAACCTAGCTCTGTAGATAAGAGATCAGCACAGAGGTTAATTGGCATCCTGCTCTCATCTGAAAACAGGCTCTGATACTCCTCTGCAGTGGCTGGAGCAGCTGCAAATGACATCTCTCACTGCACCTCCCTGGCAGAAGGCAGGAGTGATTGGGAAATGTGGAGCATGGTGGAGGATGCTGTGCTGCAGCTCCCCGTGTCAGGACTGCCCTGGGGTCTGTGCCTCTCTGCTATGGCATSATTCCTGATGGCTCCAAAATGGGAAGTAGCCCCAGGCTGCTGCTAAGCTTACAGCCTCTGCTCCTCGTCAGGGCCAGCAGCGTTGACAGTGTGCTGTGTGGGTGGGTGCTGCTTAGGGGACTGGAARTAGCATCTCTGCTTTGCACTGCATTGAGCAAGCCCAGGTAGGKAGTTGGTGCTAGGTAAATGCTGGGCAGTAAGTCCTACAGTGTGCTAATATGCCTGTGCAGGCAAATTCTGAGGCTTAAACACAGCATCTGTTCTGTTCAAAAAAAGAAAACAGATGTTTAATAGATATTTCCACACTGTTTTATCTTGGAAGTGCAAATCAATCCCAACTGTGAAAGTACTTTGCTGTCAGTAAGCTTTCTGCACATCTTTCCTATAAMATACAAAATGTCTTAATTTAATGTCTCCTGTAGATTACTTGAGTTTTCTTATGTATGTAATTTAAGCTTTCATGGTTAAATATATGCAAGCTGCTGTTTGAAAGCAGTGCAGTTGCTGTATGCTTTCAGTGTTCAATCAAGGAGTGGGGAATAGCTGGAATAGGTAAATAAATTTCTCTTTGTCTTGAGATCTTTTCTGAGATGTAGGCTTCTGTAATCTAGCACTTTGGTTATGAGTATGAGCTGCTGGAGAAGCTCCTGTGATTGTCACTGACAGATTTTTCTTACYTGGTGGGGACAGGTGCTGAACAGCCATTACCCATGAGATGCCCTCACCCCCCCTTTTCCCTGCTGTCTGAAAATGCCCACTTTATGACACGAAGAAGGCATCACCTGCTTTCTGCTCTGTGGGCTTGGGTTTTTCTGTGCTTACCTCATGGAGGTGGTGGTTGTCACTGGTCTCACTACCTAATCAAACTGCTTTTTCATTCCTGCTTTGTCAGTAATTTCAGTATTATGCTGAGTTCATTCAAGGGGTGGTGGTAAATCTGTTGAGGCATGCAGCCTCCTGGTTTTCTCTCTCTCCTAGTCTGCCAGGATGAGCTCCTGGGCACCAGCAACATCCTTCTGCAGTAACTGGGTTGTGGGGGAGCAAGGARCCCCTTCCTTGCTGAGAGAGAGACTGTGGTTTTGAGAATTACACATTCCATTAATGGATATTAAAATATGCAATATGTGTTTTCCAGTAGCTCAGTAATTATCTAGAAAAGTATTGCTTTTGCTAGCTTCACAATTTTGTGTGTAAAAYGTATTGCATTAACCATTCATTTTATGAGAAGAGGAGAAGGATAGCGTAAATATGGCTTTTCAATCAGCAGAAGAAAGGCTTAAATGATAATGCAGTAGAAGAGGCAAGGGGTGGTGGTGGGAAATACTTGTTTGACTTCCCAAGGTTTGCAGAAGTGTATTTTATAAACTCACATTTGATTAACTTTCATTCAGTTCTTTTGGTGATGCTGAAAGAAGAATTCAGGGTTGTTGATACTTGCATATTTCTCACATGCTTATTTCTTTACTGCCCCAGGAATCAGCTGATGTATTTAAATGGCAAAAAAGAAAGAAGTGCTTCTTAACTTCCAGTTATGTTCTGGCTTTCTTATAGGCTGGTCCAGGGACCGTCATCATGGCTTCAGGAGTCCAGGATTTTAACAGAACAGAATCTGACAGACTGAATGAGATCAAAGGTCACCTGGAAATAGCCTTACTGGAAAAACACTTTTTACGTAAGTATAAAATGCTCTGTGGAGAGAAATGGCTTAAGCCTGCTGGAATAAGCTTTCTCTAAGTGTAGAAGTTGGCATCAGAATTTTGAGGTGTGCTGATGTACAGATAGCACGTGGGCTTATACTTCCCTAAGAGGAACTTAAAAGCATTCCCAGGGTTTCTGGGTCACTTGGGTATTTTTTTCCTCATTGAATTCCTCACAACATACTCATTATGTGACAAAAGCTGCTTAGTGGAAGCCTTGATGTTGACATCTGCAGGTTATCTTAGAACTAAGTCAACCTTAATGTGCCTGCAATAGGTGTTTTTCTTTCTGATAGTGATTGCTAGAAAGAGATTTCTGAAGGGGAGACCAGTGCATTTTCTTGGCAGCTGTTTCAACAAATAATGCATCTTAAAACACATGTTTCTTAATAGTATATGAGTTATTGGTCAGTGGTATAAGAAATAGAAGAGTGTCTCTAGGTTTGAAGTGTTAATTGTTTGGGTTTATGCTTATATGTGTGTATGTATGTGTGTATATATGAGAAAAATTTGTCATTCTTGACTACAGGCAGCTGCAAGATTTTGGGAATTTTATCTGAGCAGATCTGAACTGTTGTTTTTTAAGACAGGATAGTGAAAAACAGAAAAATGGAAAACAATTCGATGGAAGTAGAGTTCTCTATGATAAGCCAATGAGAAATCTTGCTCAGTTGCTTCCCAAAATGGCCATTTTACACTTTTGATTTTGAATTTTAGAGTATGAGGGTTGCTTTTATGTGTACAAAGCTTGTCAGATATTTTCTAAGGGGTAGAAATAACAAGACTAGAGGTTCTGTTCAAATTTTTGACTATAATCCAATGACAAGACCTATGTTTTTATCTTCAGTGTGTTCTCAAGGATTTGTTATTTTCTGTGGATTTTTTTTTTGCTTGGCAATATTTCTTGGATATGTTTTCCCCCCATGTGTATGAGAGAGAGGCCTGATAAAGGAGACTGGGCAGGAATTTATAACAAACTGCTATCAATTTCCACTGATACCTGGGAGAGGTGGAGCTGTTGGAATGTCAAGCAAAAATTGAAAGATCTGTTTGACTTGCCTTCTTAATTTCAGTCATTTACTTGACTATTATTTTTACTTTCAGTACAAAGTTACCATGTACTCCTTTCAACCCCAAAGATACATCACTTAGGCTCCTGATACAGGGTTGTTTTTTAAACTAGATGGGACATGTGATTTCTTGATGTAATCTAATGTACCACAAACAGTAGGACTTACTGGAACTGATTCCAGATTTGAAGTAGGATGTGCTTTTTGATGTAAAAACATGATAGGGCTCCCGGGCACTTCTGTGGCTGGTGAATTCATTCTCCTTTCTTAGTATAATTTCACAGTAACTAAATGGGACACATAGTTTTGGGAATGTTTGTAGTCTTCACGTTCTTGCTGTGATTAGAAAACCTTCTGATACACTGTTACCCCTTGTCGCAGAACATTTTTCCTTTGCACAGAGCTATGTAGCAAACTCCAAGGTGAAGGGTTATGAAATTCTCCCTTTCATATAAACTTTGAGCAGATGGTTGCGGGTTCAGGCCAGTGGGAGGCTTGAGTCAGCTGGGAGTGTCTCCAGCCATCACCTCTTCACCAAAGCCTGACATTTGCTGTAGCTGAAATTACAGAGTTGTTCTGACAAATTGGTTGTAACTCTACATACAAACAAGAATAAGAATCATAGACTGGTTGGGAAATAAGTGAGGTAAAGCTTATCCCTTATTCAGGCACATTCCATTCAAAATTTTGTGATGGGATAGGTCACAGTGTTTGTCAATTGGAGTGAAGTAGGAGTTTAGCTTTTGGGTATGGCTTCTGCATTCTTCCCTTTTCTTTTTCCTTCTATTTGAGTTATTATTTTGGGCTTTTTTGGTACTATAAATGCTTCCTTATTGTTTTCTTCCCAAGTGTGAACTAATGGTGTGCAGCAAAACATTCTTGAAATGTGCAGTTTGTTTATTTCAATTTGCCCTTGGAAGAAAGCCTGGTCATGACTGTCTTTAAATGCTATTGCTGCAGTATGTGTTTTTTAGGAGGGCTATTTGATCCGCAGTATTTCCATACTATTTTTAACTATGGAATTCCTTAAATATACCTTGCTATGAGTGTGTTTTTGCATGACCTGTTTGCCRCGTACACTTATTCAATTTCCTCCAGCTTGTTGTGCAAAAATCAAAGCAATTACTAGTAAGTGAAATATCTAAAAGTCTCATGTGTTTACTTTTTAATGTGTTGAGGTTCTACTTGTTATCAGCTTATCGAGACTTTGGTTTGTCTGGGTTTTTTTTGACCTTTTTTCTATACTTTCRTTTGTATTGGTGTGCCATTAGCCAGGAGGTTTAAGAAGGAAAGATTTCCACTCAGCTGTACATTATGTGTAATGTACTCATACATTACACAGCACAAGTCAGTGTGGGTCTGTAGTTGCAGGTGCCTGGCTTAAGTTTTTGTTTAAACTCCGTTCAGCCATTAGTGGGCACAAGCAATAGGTTCAGTTTGGCTGAGTAGTGCATTTGGTGAAACACATCCTAAACCTAACTGTAGCCTTTACAAGCTGCAGAGGAAATCCGGAGCAAGTAGGGATGGAGACAAACTGTTGTCTGTAAAGGGAAAATATCTTCATCTGAGATGCCAGATGAATCACTTCTTCAGCAAAGAGATAATCTAAACACCCAGAGATGTCAAGATAGAGAAGAATTGCTTAGCATGTGCAGAGCTGTAAATGCAAATAAAACGTGTCTGGAAATACAAGCGGTTTAAGCTGCAGATTGATGGGAGGATGAGGCACGTGGAGAAAGGGATCTTGGATAATGTCCTGAGCAAAGGGAAGGGATCATCTGATTCTCCCAGGCAAAGGGACTAAAGTTGYTTTTCCTGTCTGTGTGGAATGGTCTTAAACTCTTTGATCTAATGGCTCATTCTGAGCCTTATTGTAGGAATGCTGAAAATGTGCCTGTTGGGTTTGTGGTATTGGTGTGGGTTCCTGCAAAAAAAGGCTTGGAACACCAGCTGAATGAAAAGCGCAGAGAGCTCAGTCTGCTGGAGTTTCCAGTGCATGTGGATAGAAAAAACTTTGTCTTGGAACTGTGACAATGAGAAGAATTCATTTCGAAGGGACTTTCTGTTGTTACAACCTGGTTTTTAATACATGTGAACACTGCCTTGGGRCTAGTTGAGGGCTCAGTTTGGGAAGGCAACTACTGATCCAGGGCATTTAGATTGATGTGATAAGGTTTGTAGTGGTTTTAGTGTTTCCATTTCAAAACCTGCTTGTATCTTAACAAAAAATAAAATTCTGCTTGCTGATCATGAGAATTACACATTCCATAAATGGATATGACGCTGTACATGAAAATGCCTGAATGCTGGAGGATCTCTTGTTGTTACACTGCCTTTTCTTGGGACTGATGAACCAAAATGCAGCACAGTGCTCAGAGGTATATATTGTTTGAGTTCCTCCAGAGCCTTGAACAGATGCCACCTACTCACTGCGTTATGTACGTGGGCTCTGCTCTTCTTTCTGCCTTATTTGTGTGCCCAGCTTGGCTTCATTAATTGCAGAGAAGGTGTGAAAACCCAGGCAGGGCAATGGTCAGCTCTGTTGTGCCTCTCCCTTTTGTGTAACTGGGATGGAGATTTTGGGAGTCCCATGTGGAACCTGCATTTCCCTGCTCAGCTTAGTAACACAAAAGCCTTGGAAGAGCCTGCTGCTATTCCTAAGCCAGACGTTATTTCARCATTTATGGACTGTTTCACTTCTGCCAAAACCAGAGAGTGAAAACTATTCCTGCAATAATGACAACATTTTAGCAGCTCTGTTTATTTTAGGTGGRTTTTGCAACACTTCTGGCATTTTTATTCTCTTAAATATCTGAAAATTCATAGAGCAGCGGTATTTTTCATGATTTTTAAGCTGACCTTTTAAGTGTATCTAGCAATAGAAAACTTTCCACTTGATGTTTTGAGAAGGGGTTCTGTCTCAGTAAGCTATATTTTCAGGAAGTGTAATTTAAAATCCTTCCATAATGAAGGGGAAATGATCCGGGTCTATTATGACATGATAAAACTCACTAAATGTAATTGTAAAGTTACTAATTGGTAGTTAACACAACTATTTGTACTAATGTTAGGAATGGCATATTAGTTCTTTCTAACCTCACCCACCCCAAGTAGGACTTAACAGGAATAGGGAGAGAGGAGACTGTAACAGCGTGCACAGAGGAAGAAGGCTTTGTCAAATATGATGTGTTTTGTCAATCAGTCTTCCTCATAACGTGAGAGATCAGAACACTTTATATGAAACTCTTGCTGTTGAGGTGAGGAGAATAGTACCAGGGAATATTAACTGCACTGGGAAGCAGGATGATGGTTCAGACTCTGCCTTCCCTCCACTGTCTGTGCATCAGAGTTGGCTCATTTCCTATCAGCACAGCAGGAGCCCACGCTGCTCCCCGCCCTGTRGGCGTATGCAGAGAGACTCAAAAACTGGTCCTGTAAAGCTCTGCTTATAAATACTGGAGCAGGAGCTCTGTCTTTGGAAGAACAGAGAGAGGCACAAAAGAATGATGGAAAMAAAACAAAGTGRAAAGCCAGTGTTTAACTGCCAAATCTATGTTAAAGTTTTTAAAGGGGAATTAGCATGACTGGTTCTGAATATAACAGTTCACTTCTTTGTTTTGATGTGTGCAGACTTAGCTGGAGAAAAATCATACTAAAAATGTGGGGTTTATATTTATCTGTGTCACGTCTTCACTCTACTAAAATGCCTATATAAACCAGGGTAGAGAGGAGGAAAGGGTATGTGCTCCATAAAGGTACTTAATCTGTAATGATTCTGTCTGCCTTTTGGCTTTTTATGACACCARTATTCCTATTAGAAAATATTTTAGCTACGTATGAAAGTTCATGCAAACAAGCAAGAGGCCTGAACACAAGGGAAAACCATTAAATTGGCAAATCAAGGTGTTCAGAAATGCAGAAGAAAAAGAAGGAAAAAAAAAGTAAAAGTTATTCCAGACCACTTGTGGAAGAGCTGTGGAGAACAAGAATGGTGGTATCCATTTTGGAAGTGACTACCTAATCACACAAGAAAAAGGAAGGGTTAGAGAGTCAGCCTGGAGTTTGGGGCTTGACAAAGGACATTTTTGTAAAATGCTAACAGTAATCCTTCTAAGCAGTGGGCTATGTGATTCCCAAGCAAAGCTTGGAAGTCCAGACATGAAAGACTACATGAATTTAAGAGGTGACTTAAAGAAGAGAGGGTAGTTAATAAAGTGGAGCTCCTAGAGGGATGGTTTAAATAAGCATCTCCCCAAGCATCTGGCATGCAAAGAAGTAGAATATCTCACAATGTCTAGGATCAAAGGGTAATGTTTTGCCTGAAATCTTTCGGTTAGATTTCTGATAAGTTTTTTGGCAATCTCCATGGTTCTCAAGTCACTGATGRAAAAAACATGCCCTGGAGAAGGAGAATGATGGATTGGAAGAAGAACAGGGAACAAAAGTGCACAATTAAGCTTTATCTAGTTATAGTTATGAATTGTGAATGTGTGTTCAGAGGAATATGTAAATTGAACAGTTACCGTAAGCAGGAAAAAACAGGTTTGGGAATCAGAACATTTTTTACAAGTAAGTATTCTGAGGAGCAAACTGAAATTTTTCATTTGCATTAGTGGCCTATGCTGTAAGATGATGCAACACAACAGTGGGTTCTTGTCTTTTAGCAGTTACATGGTATCAACTTAGCTTTTTGAATGTTGAATCTTTAAATTTGAATTGTCAAATCCTTAAAGTTCAGGTGTGGCAGTTATGTTACACCTCCTAGAGGATAAAATGCTGTACAAAAGCTGAAATGGAGAAATTTTTATTGGTAACCTGTGAGATGTATCATTGATGATGGTCTTTACCATGGGGTCAATTCTCCTAGGGTTTACAGTGCAATAATAAGTGTAATAATCATTGTCACTGAAACGCTATTGTTGCYTTGTCTTACAGACTTTTACAGCTCATTGTAAAAGAGCAGCAGCATCCAGTTATTGTCCTGCTTTTTTGAAATAAGTTGGCTTTGGTAGAGAGCTTTTAAAGCATTTTTTCAGGGTTGCAACCTAAAGGGTTACCCAGTGTGTAGGTATTTAGAGGTTCTGATGGAGTTCATAGCTTTCTGTAAGGCTTAAGGGCATGGAGGCCTTTTACTCTAAAATTCTCTACTTTATTACATATTGCCACAAAAATCACTGCTAGCAACTATACCTATGATTTGTAACCCATATATTTATATATATGTGTGATATATGTATATATATAAAAATAATACATGAGCTTTTATRAATTCTTAGGAGCAATCAATAGTGTGGCAGCAACCAAGTAGGTGTATACTGTTATAGGCTACTGCAAACTTCTCACTAATGAAGCCAACTTTTTAGTAATACTTCAGAAAATGTAATCATGATGGATTAGTTATATGCACAAATGCAAATGTYTACATTAGTATTAATATCAAGCTTACCATCCCAGATGCGGGAGGACAAACCAAAATGTCCTGGGTGAGGGTCCAAGATCTCTTGGGAAGTTTGTATGAGGAATTCAACCTGTTTAGGAAAGGAGCAATATGTGCAGCTTGGGAAGTTCTTGAAGAGAGAAGTTTTATTTTGGATAAAAATTAAGTCAYATCAGAGAGAAATAAGGAGCTATAGGATACTACCTCTTCAGCAGCCAACAGATACTGTTAATTTCTATTTTTCACCYACAATAGCCAACAGATACTGTTTTCTGTTCTCTCAGGCCAATTATTTTTCTAGACTCTTTTCTTTTTCTTGCAGATAGAACAGCCAATTGCAGTTACCAAGTCTTACTTTCTCAGGGTGTTTTTCCTGTTTTCAGATTACTTTTCACMTTTTCAGATGATGTGGCTGTTGTGGCTCCTTGTTTTTGTGTTTATCAATGGTGTCTCAGGTTTCTAGGTACCTRGCTGTACGTTTCAGAGGCCAGCTGCACTTCTGAGCAATGCTTCTGCTTCCCAGACCTAATTCCCAGGCTTGGCAGCATTTTCTYTGTCAGTATTTCAGCAGACATTTTCTTCTTTACTAACTTCCCCCGTCTCACCAGGTCACCTTTATGGCTGCTCATTTCACCTGAATGTCCAGCTAAGACATGCACTGGGCTTCTAACAATATTTTAATGTTTCTTGTCCTGGAGAAGATAGTGAGCTGTGATTGATATTCCTGGGAAGGAAGTTATGGAAGCTGATGACTCTGGGAGCTGAAGCTTGACCTTTTATGTTTTACCCTTTTGTGTGTGTGCAGAGATGGGAGGGTGTTTGAATTTTGACTGTCTGAAGATAAAATTCAAGGAGTACTCCATTCTCATCATCAAGGAGAGTACTCATCTGTAAAACTCAGTAGATAGATATCATGGTGAAATGTTCTTATGRATTCTTCTCAGGGGTCCGTGACCTCTGCTCTTTGTAGCCAACTTYACTCATCCTGCAGGAGGACTCTTCAAGGATAGAGAAATATGCTTTGAAAGTGCAGTTCAGTTTGG